ATGTTGTGTTTTGGAATAATCTACATTTCTTAAATTGGAAGCGATTCTAAATAACCCTGAGTCCCGGCTAGTACAGTGGCATATGCTTGTTCATAGATGTGTAAAAGCTATAGCAGGAAGATTGTGGGTTTGAGGCTAGCCACTGAGCTGGCTGGAGAGAGAGGCTGAAGTTTCTAGCTACTCCATGCTGCTATTTGTAGAATATTTGTCTGGGAAAAAAGTATAAATATTGTTTAAAATATGGTAGATATGGTTTAATGTTTTTTAGAAGCTAAGTACACACTCAATTGTTGGATCCAGCCATGGGGATTTGTGAGTTGTATTAGAAGAAACCTGGGACCGGGGTTCAGGAGTCCTGAGCTCTGGCTCTAGAAGTGCTGCTGCTCTGTTTGCTATTGATGTCTGGTGTTAAGCATTTCTGGGCCAAGATCATCTATCTATATGGCAAAAAGATATTTCTTTTACTTTACATTGTAAGTCTTTGGGTTAGGCCAGAAATATTGCTCAAAAGACTGAATAAGTGCCACAGCAAATAAGATGAAGCTCTTAAATCAGAACACCGGGTAGATCAGTTTCTGTGGTAAGATGGAGGAAACCCACAGAATGAGAGAGACGAGGCTACACAGATAGACCACTATGTAAAAGATGACTATGATGTGGCTGTTAAAAGGCTTGTACTCTCTTAGGTGCTAGGACAGGAGCGTGGAGATTATGAAAAGGAAGGGAACAATCCCTTTCCCTCTGTGCTGCTTAATCTGACTTGTGTGGTCCAAGGCAGAGAGGGAACAGGCCTAGTGGGAGATCTCTGCTAAAGATAGGACTAGAGCAGTCTAAAGACGGAGCCTAAAGCTGATACCCCAACTCACCCACATAGAGGCAAGAGCACGATTTAAAGCCTAAAATGGAGGTATAAATAACTCAACACAGATGAGGTATGCCGTAAGATGGGAAAAGCAAAGAGCAAGGGAGAAGTTCTCTAATGGGATTAACAGATAACAAGACATTATTTTTGTTTGTTTTTTGGAGGTCTTGGGCAACAAACCCCAGGCTTTGCATGTATTAGGCAAGTGCTCTATTGCTGAGCTACCTTCTTGGTCCCAGATGCTAAAATATCTTCATATATGCATTTTGCAATAATTTCTCAATGCAGCAGACATTCTAGTTGACTATTCAGTTTTTAATATCAGTTTCTTTATGGGGTGATATTTCCTCTGTGTCATCTGCTGAGGCAAAACATCCATCAACTGTCCATCTGCATTTTGTCAGTAGTTACTGAATGGCCTGCTCTGATTCTTCACCAACAGCATTTGCTATAGGAGGACTAAAGAGAGCTAGGGGATTCAGGTGCCAATCAATCTTACTGATTCTCTGCCCAATTCTAGAAATTTGATTTTGTCCAAGTCCTAAAAAAAGAATTTAGAGTTGGGTTAGGCCACTGGGCACATCAAAGCATGAATTTCTGAATCTGAGACATAGGGCATTGATGGAGGAAGTCACAGCAGCATTTGTAGGCTTAAACTACTTAGCTGTGATACGTCTGCTAACCTCTTCCTGATATTCTGCTGGCCTTTTAAATATCTAGTGGGCTCTCACTATGTAAAATTCCTTTATGTAAATTCCAACTATAAATGTATTTACAGAAACAGTTAAAAATGACTAAGGACCAATCATGACTTCATTCCCTCAGAGACAATCATTGTTAAAATTTTGGTCTGTGGGGATAGAGAGATGGCTCACCAGTTAAGAGCACTGGCTGCTCTTGAAGAGGACCTGGGTTCAATTCACAGCACCCACATGATAACTAACAACCGTCTGTAACTCCAGTTCCAGGGGATCTGATGCCCTTTTCTGACCTCCACAGGCATTGAACAACATGGATGCACTTACACACATGCAGGCAATCCATTCATACACGTAAACTAAAAATAATAAATAAAATATTTTTAAAATTTGGTCCATATATATTCAGATGACTGGGATACAGTCCATCCAGGCAGGGAACGCATAGCAGAGGTGCCAGCTCTTGTCTGTGATGGCAAGAGGCTGCTTGTTCCCATCTTAGTGGATCAGAAAGCTGAAAAAAGGGAGTCGACACTCAGCTTGCTTTCTCCAATTCCCAGCCCACGGGTTGGTGCCACCCACATTCAAGGCAGGTCTTGCCTCCTCAGCTAACCTCTCTGGAAACTCTCTCCTAGATACACCCAAAGGTATGCCTCACTAATCTCCTAGGCATTTATTAATCTAATCAAGTTGACAGTTGAAATTAACCATCATGGGTACCAGGCAGAAAGGTCCAGAAGCAGGACATCCCAATCTGGCTGGAAACAAGGTTCTGCAATGGCAGTGACTTTGAGACCTCTAGGCTTAGGGAGCAGCTCCTGCAAAATGTTAGAGCAGACAGGATGCTGGGCAGCCATAAGCAAAGTTAGGGTGGGAGGACATGAAACAGGACAGATGAGGCACCATCTTCGTTGCTTGGTTTTCTTCCTAGGCCTGAGAGGTGAATAGTTAGGTTTTTTTTTCTCGGTTCCCCAGCCAGTCGGGGCTCTGACATGAGCTCAGTCCACCAGGAAGAGTGTCAAGGCACTATAGGTACCAGGGGCTGCCAAATAGTGCCACCCTGAGGCAGCATGCTTCCAAACCCAAAGGCAGAGGAAGGCTTTGAAAGTACAGGCAGCTGATTTCTTGACCCTGATGATCAGCCTGGCACCCTGGCTCCTGATATCACCTATTATCAGTGCTTAGACGCACCGAGGCCAAGACAGCTTCCCAGGCTTGAGGCCAGAGCTTTTATTCATTTTTAGGGGAAATATAAACCATATCTCCTTAGCCTTTGCCATGGAAATGAGAACTGGATTCAGTCTTGAGAAGTGGTAGCTTCTGGAAAGCAGATTCCAGGCCATAGACTGTGTAGGGTCCTGATATCCATCTAGCCATCAAATCTTCTATTAATGTATCATTTATTCATCTATCCATTCATCCAGCCATCCACCAATTGATCTTCTATCCATCTATCCATTCATTGATCTTCTATCCATCTATCCATCCATTGATCCTCCATTCATCCATCCATATGTCCATCCATTGATATTTCATTCATCTATTCATCTATCAGTCCTCTAATCATCCATCCATCCATCTATTGAATTTTTATCCATCCATCTATCCATTCATCTACCCATTGATCTTCCATCAATCTATTCATCCATCGAGCCTCCATTCATTCATCCATCCATCTCTTGATCTTCTGTCCATCTATTGCTTCATTGTTCTTCCACACATTTCCATTCATTCCCTCATCCATCATTCCTCCATCATGCATCCAACTTTTTATCTTACATGCACATACACTTACCCATCTACCCATCCATCCACTCATCTTCTATTCATTCGCTCATCCATTAGTCATCTATCCATCAATCTTCTGCCCATCTATCCATTGTTCCTCTATCCATCTACCAATCCATTCATACTTTTATCATTCACTCACTCATCTGTCCATCCCTCCATCCATCCAGTTATCTGTACCAATTCCTTTCTTTCCTCTTTTCTTGAAAATCTCCTTCACTGAGCTGATCTGCTCCTTTGTACCATAAGCATCTTCTACACATGGAACTCTCTGTACAAGACTGCAGAGAAGTAGAGAGAAGGAAGGTAAGTAAAGGGGAGGTGAAAAGAAAAGTTTTAGTTGACTGCTGCCAAGCCTGCCTACTTTGTGTAAGATGCCCACAGCCGGCTGAAGCAGGGAGGAGAACCCAAGTCTCACACTTAGATTTTGACTCTTTACACTGCATTTTTAAAAAATTGTTTCATTCAGTGTTCTCCTAACTGGTCTCCCTGTTTCTAGACTTCCTGCACCCTAGTTTATGCCACAGTAAGAGTGATCTTTATTTGTGTCTGTGTTCATGTATGTGTGTACATGTGTATGCAGGTGTGTGTATGTGCATGTACATGTATTTGGAGGCCAGAGGTCAATGTATCAATGTCAGGTGTTTTCCTCAATTTCCCTCCATCTTATTTTTTTGAGACAGGTTCTCTCACTGAACCTGGTACTCACTGATATGGCCAGACTGTTTGGTCAGTGAGCTCCAGGGATCCTCCTGTCTCTGCCTCCTCAGTGCTGAGATTATAGGCACCTGATGGCATATCCAATTGTTACACGGGTGCTGGGAATTTTAACTAAGATCCTCATGCTTGTATGGCAAGCGCTTTACTGACTGAACCATCTCCCTAGCCCCTCAGAGTGATCTTTCTAGTGTCCCTGACCTAGCCTCTCTCCAGCCTGAAGTCTTCTGCCTGAAGTCACAAGAGACAGAAAGAGGTCAGTATCCTTAATGGATCCAAAAAGAACCTTATGACCTAACCCCAGGTACCTCTTTAGCCCCATGCCCTTTCCTATCACGTATGTCACACGCACATAGACCAGAGCCGTTTATGGTTTTCCTAGCATTCCATTTTCCCCCACACATGAATATGCTCATCCCTCAACTGGTACCCCCCATCAATCTATCCCCTGTACTTCCTCAGGTACAAATTACCATGTTCACCACTTTGAACTGTAATTTACTTGCTTGGACCTGGCTTTCCTATAAGACTGTGAACTGCCTGAGTGAGAAGGTGAGCAGTTGTCTCTATGGTCCTATGTTAAGTACCTAGTGTGATTTATGGGGTAAATGGATGGGTGATGGACAGATGGTGGATGGGTGATAGATGGATGGAGGGGTGATGGATGGGTGATGAATGAGGGGATATTTATAAGAGAAACACAATAGCCTTAGGACAAGATGATTCAAGTTTCTTTGTCTCAGGGAAGGTCAGGTGGCTTCCTCCTGAAAGTCCAGACCATTGAGGAGAGGACAAAGCTATGGTCTCAGCAGGGCAAGGTGTCTACACCAGGAATGGGGAACTTCAGCATGACACACTGACTTGCTTTTGGGACTCATTTCCTGTTTTTTTCTGGATAAAAGGCTCTTGGGGAAATAGGCAACTAGAAAGCACTTATGCCCCAGGGTGAGATGAAGGAGCAGGAGGTCCCCGATGCCCACTTCACCGTGGACAAACAGAACATCTCCCTTTGGCCCCGAGGCAAGTACCAGCCATTCTACCCACTCCATCCTGTGCCCAATCCCATCCTTCACTGGTCCTAACAAACCTGTATCTCTTTCTAGATCTTCCTTCCAAGCCAGATCTGTCTCCAGGTCTGAGGAAACCTCTCACCGCTCGTGTGGCCTTCATCTGCCTGTCGCTGGTTCTGGTCACCTCCATTGTGCTTCAGGCTGTTTTCTGTAAGTCTTCAGTTCGCCATCCTTCCCCAAAGTCACTGGGTCTTTGAGGATGTAGACCTCTTCTCTGCTCTTCTGAGTGTCTCCAGTCTATGGTGTTTCAGGGATCTACTGTTCCTTCCTTTCTAGTATAGGGGGATTTTCCAACTGACTCCGGGGCCTGTAGGTCTGTGCCCAAGGGTACACTCTTCAGCCCCAGGAAACAATCACCAGCTTTCCATCCCTGCCACTTCCCTCCCTAGCCCCCTGTTACTTCATGGCTCTGAGCCCCTTGAATTCAGAGACTTGTGGACAGCTCCCAACAACTAGTGTAATTTCTCTGGACTTTGTTAGGGACCGATTCCCTGTGTGAGTCCCCACTGAGCAGATGGAGAACCTAGCCACTAAGTCGGCCGATCTTCTGACTTGGGATCCTGGCTGGAAGCCTTCATGTGCTCTTCACTCTCCCATCCAGACCTTTGTGCATGGAGACTTCCTATTCCTCTTCAGAAACTTCTTGGTCTCTCCTTCAGTCATACCTTTGTCCCTTCTGCCAAGTCTCCAGAAAGTAGACTGAGGTAATGTTTTGGCTTGTCATAGCCCATAACATACAGGGTCTCAGATTCTCAGTAGCACCCCCCCCAGACCTCTGGTTTTCCATGGAATTCTTTTGGTGGTTCTTGGTTTATTTTTGGTACCTGAATCTGTGATCTGAGTAGAGTGTGAATCAGGCCAGGGAAAGGCAGGAGTGGCTTAACATTCTCCCTCCCCCCCGGCCCCTGCCACCTGTACTCTAGAGCTGCATGGCTGGCCCTTCTCATGGCTGCAGAGCAGGCTGTCAACACACAAAGGAGGCGCATGCTGCCCTAGCTGATGACTCTATAGGGGTCTCTGAAAGGAGGCAGCTGGGGACCAACCCATGGGCCTAGAGGGGACCCACTGATGGGGAACGTGATGAGTGAGTAGCTGAGGGCACCCCTTTACCAAGCTCACCCTGACCGCTAAGGAAATTCAAAGATGGGCTCTCCCAGCTGCCTCTGCTCATGAGGCCTCTAGATCTTTGTCCATCTTCTCTCTGCCTGTGCCATCCAGGGTTTCTGATACATAGTGGCACCCACCATGCATATTGTACATTAGTGAATAGGACTAGAGGGTAGGTGGCTGCTCTTTAAACTGTTCTGGCTCTTAGGGAAGCTTGATCCTGACACTTCCCCTTCCTTCCTCTTGACAACACCCCACTTCCACCTCTAAGGACCCCCTCAACTGACCTCCTGACTTTCTTAACTCCAGATCCTTGGTTGTTGGGCAAAATATCAGATGTGAAGAGAGATGCCCAAGTGTTGAGAGGTCATGTGGACAACTTCAGCAACCTGAGTTCTGACCTCCTGAGTAAAAGTGGCCGTGTGCAGGTGGCTGAAGTTCAGATCCAGATGGTGAATGCCAGCCTCAACCGGGTGCAATCTCAGATTCTGTCCCTAGGGGCCATCGTTGAGAGGGCCAGTGCTCAGATTCAGGGCTTAACAAGAAATTGGGAAGAGGTTGATCATCTCAATGCTCAAATCCCAGAGGTAAAAAGAGATCTGGACAAAGCCAGCGCCTTGAATGCAAAGGTCAGAGGACTGCAAAGCAGTTTGGAGAACCTCAGCAAGCTGCTCAAAGGACAAAGTAAGTGACTTAAAAGATTATATAGCAGGATGCCCAGTGGCCTCAAGACTGCGCCTCAGGCTTGAAGCCATCTGACTTGTGGGAGGGCAGGAAATGGAGGAGAAAGGTGAACTAGAAAGCTAAAGAGAGAGGATTGGAAGGACTCAGGGGCAGCAAGGAGAGAAGACACTAGGCCCAGCTTGGGTCCTCGTACTGAGGTGCAGAGTGTGATGGCATTAGGTCGGGAGAACTATCTACAATAGCAAAAATTTTGGTTTTGAGTGAGTGAGCTTATTAAGAATATACCAAGCCAAATGTAAAAGAATAAACATCAAATGAAAGATAGATAGACAGAGAGTAAAACATCATCAGTCAGCTGAAATTCCCAATAGAGAGGGTCCCGGGCAGAGCAGAGTGTCCCATCCAAAGAGACTACCAAGCGAAAGGACAATTAACAGCAGGTAGAGATTTCATCAACTTGGGGTTCACCGACATCCAGCAGAAACCGACTAGGGAAGTTGAAGCAGTCAGCTGAAGTTCCTGGATGAGCTTTCTCTCCTGGCAGAGCTTCCCATGGCTGAAATTCCCGCTTCTCCCCCCCTCCACTGCCCCCTGCTGCAGGCACTTTTATAGCATGAGATAAACAATAACATCTGCTGGAAATGGTTTACCTTCTGGCTGTTCTCAAGGGTGCAGTGTTTTTACTCTTGGGCTGTTTTGCTGTTCTCTTCCTCTCCTGTCACAGAATTAGAGGGGCCAGTCCATCCCAGACATTGGAGGACACTTTGAGGCAAACATACTTGGGTCTGAAATGAGAGGCAAACCGACTTCCAGAGCCATCTTCTCATGACATGACATGACATGACAATTTACTAATATAATGTATGTTATACCTGGCCTGCACCTCACTTCTTCCTATGCAGTTCCTTGTTGCGAGCCAGGGCTCAGGGTTCATGGACCCTTGTGTACCTCTCACGCTGTTCCCTCTCACTGTCCTTTCTCTAGCTCTAGAGGCTCTATCCATGTCTCAGACTTTTGGGATCCAAGAGAGTGTCCCTTATCTCTAATGTAGGAACCCAAGGACTGCTGCTGGTCCTGGGATGCCGTTGAGCACTGGGTCCTCAGCAAGGATCCAGCAAAGCCAGGAGCACCATGGTCACCCTCAGTCCCTGTTCTCCAGATGACATTCTTCGGATGGTGTCTCAAGGCTGGAAGTACTTCAAGGAGAACTTCTATTACTTTTCACACACCCCAAAGACCTGGTACAGTGCTGAGCAGTTCTGCATATCTAGGAAAGCTCATCTGACCTCTGTGACCTCAGAGTCAGAGCAGGTGAGTGCATTACAGGCTTGTGAAGGGGGCATCAAGGAGGGTGGACAGGATTATGTTGCAGTAACAAAAATTCCCTAACTGTCCACGACCTAAAGATAAAGGCTTATTTCTTGTGTGTGTGTGTGTGTGTGTGTGTGCACGTGTGCACATGTGTGTGGTGTATGTATGTGGGGTATGTGTGTGAGTGAGTGGGGTATGTTTGTGTGAGTGTGTGGTCTATGTGTGTGTGAGTGGTATTTGTGTGTGATGTATATGTAAGTGGTGTATGTGTGTGGTATATCTGAGTGTGTGTGCATGGGGTGTATGTATTTGTGTGTGTGTGTGTGTGTGTGTGTGTGTTTGTGGTATATGTTTGGCTTATGTGCATGTGAATGTGGGTGCCCAGGCATGCTGGAGGCCAGAGGAGGACACTGAATGTCTTGCTTTATCACTCCCCACCTCATTCCTTGAGACAGGGTCTCTCATTGAATTTGGACCTAGGCTGGTGACTGGCAAGCCCCAGCAATTCTGGCTGCCTTCTGTGGCACTGGGATTATGTGGGTGCTGGGGATTTGAACTCAGGTCCTCATGCTTTCACAGCAAGTGCTCTTACGCACTGGGCTATCTCTGCAGCCCTTCCTCAAGGCTTATTTCTCACGTATGCTGCAAGTCTTGCAAGGGGGAGTAAGAGGGTTCTGCCCATTGTGGGTATCAAGGGCCTAAGTCAAAGAAGGGTTCATTTCAACACCATCCACAGTTTGCTGAAGCAGAAGGGAGCATGGCAAACTACATTGACTGCTAAAGATTCTGCCCTGAAATAGCATGTCACTTCTGCTCATGTTCCTGTTGAAAGCAAGTCACACAGTCCTGCTAGCTTCAAAGGGGGCAGGAAGGGGAGCTCTTTCCATGTGCCAGAAAACAGAAATATTCGTGAGCAGCATTAACGATACTTCAGGACTCAGGAAGCCTTCCTGTGAGGCAGAGTCAGGACTGGGCTTGTCTATCTGAGAGGTAGGGGAGTAAAACAGGTGCTAGCCCAAGCTTTGTAGTAACCAAGTGTCGCATCCTGCCATCAAACTTGTCCTAGAGCCCTGGGGAGATGAGTTGCTTTTGCCAGGCCTCATCTTCAATGAATTGATGTGAGGTATATGGTAAGAGTGCTCACCTCAGAGAATAAAGGAGGGAGGCACAGAAGGCCTTATAGTGTCTGGCACATTTAAGACGTTTAAGGGTTCGTGGAATTAAGGTGTTGTCATTCAAGCCATTCTCTCGGCACTCCTGTCTAAAGTTTAGCTGTGTTTTCCTGTTTTTTGTTTTTTCTTTTGAGACAGCATCTCACTATGTAGCCCAGGCTATCCTTGAACTCTCAATCCTCTAGTCTCAGCCCCCAGAGTGCTGGGATTGAAGGTACCTGCTACCATGTCCTGCAGGCAGAGTATCCCTTGTTCCAGCACCTGCTTCTCCAGAGGCAGAAAGCCTGAAACCTGAGTTTGTTAGTTGGAGAGCGAAGAACAGCTAGGATTTGGAAGTGGGCTCTGGGCTCCAGGCAAGGATACGAGGGAACTTGAGGGAAAACATCGTACCTGTGAGTCTTGGGGGCATCTCTGAGGCCAGGGGCTGTGGTTACTGGGAACAAATGAGGAATACTCACACTAGTAGGTGCTCAAAGTGTAGTGGCGGCTGGGTCTCTGCTCACTCTCTTTTCCCTACAGGAGTTTCTTTACAAAACTACGGATGGGCTTCCACACTGGATAGGCCTGACCAAAGCGGGCAGTGAAGGGAACTGGTACTGGGTGGATGAGACACCATTCAACAAACAGCAAAGTGGGAGGTGAGTCTGCTGCATCCTCCTTTCTAGTCTGACCTGCTGTGTGGGGGTTCCCAGGAGTGCAATGAGCAGTGGCTGTGCTTTGGCCCTGTTCCAGCGCAGAGGGAGCACTGGAGGCAACTCAGGAACCTCTGTGCTCTGTGGGGCTTAGCAGCAAGGCCTTCTACCCAGATGGCATGGGGAGAATTCCACCTAAGCCCAAAACTATGCAGGCTTGTGAGGGGTTAAGAACATGGGGGTGGGGGTATAACTAGAGGCTTAGAGTTGGGGTCTTCTGAGCCCCTTCTTGGGCCTGGAAGCAAAAACTTGCATTGTTGTCACTGAGATAGAAACTGGAATTAAAATAACTCATCAAAAATTATTTACTTATTATTATTGTGTGTGCATAATGCATGTGTGGAAGACAGAGGACAGGTTCGGAGAGTCAGTTCTCTCCTTCTATATTTATTTGGGTTCAGGGGATTCAACTCAGGTCTCCATGCTTGTGTAGTGAGGGCCTTTATCTGCTGAGCCATCTCACCAGCCAGAAAGAACTCACTATCAAGTTTTTACAATGAAACTTTATTTTGTATGTGCCAGTGCATATGTGTACAACTTGTGGGAGTCGGTTCTCTCCTTCCATCATGTGGTGGCAAGCATTTTTACCTACTGAACCATCTTGCTGGCCCCTGACATATCTCGTTTTTGAGACAGCATCTCACGTATCCCAGGCTGGCTTCAAGCTTGCATGTAGTTGAAGATGACCTTGAACTTCTGATACTCATGCTCCCACCTTCAACTGCTGCTATTACTGGTGTGCACCACCACACCAAATTTGTGTGGTGCTGGGGATCAAACCCAGGACTTTGTGTATGCTAGGTAAGCACTCTCCCAGGTATACAAGGAACCCTTTCTGTTTTCTCTATTGGTAGGTTCTGGATTCCAGGTGAGCCCAACAATGTGGGGAATAATGAACATTGTGTCAATATCAGAGTGTCTTCTCTCCAGTCCTGGAATGACGCATCCTGCGACGACAAGCTCCTTTTCATCTGTAAGCAGCCCTACACCCACTCAGATCTGTGATAGGACAGGGCCACGGGCTTGCCATTAGGCTGCAGCACTTGTCAAGCTTGAAGAAATGCCTCTCCTCGCACTCCAAGATCACTTTGCACCTTAAGTTTTTCTTACTTGAAAATTGTCCCAAACATACCCTGGAGTACATCTGTCTTGCTTCAGGCCAACCAAGTGATATTCTTCATATTGCTACTCGGGGCTTTTCCTGGTTGATCCAACAATGCCTGTTTAGGGTTCCTGGCAGGAGGCCTCTGGCTGTCCCTTCCTGGGGAATAGCTCTGTTCCACATCATATTCCATTGCCCCTATCACTTACTCTGAAGTCTGAATTCCTTTTCCTCTTGAGTGAGCTAACCCAGTGAAGATAGGCCTGGCAGGGTCCCCTGTGGAGCTGAGCTGGCTCTCCCCTCCCTCTTCAACCACACAGGCTCAGCCCTTCCCTCAGCAGGCTGGTCTCCTTCCCTGCCTGTTCACCTCTCTTCTTGCAGCCCATGCAGAGGAATTCCTCTTTCTGTTTAAATACCTCTGGGTCAAGGCCTTTGCCTGAATGCATGTTTTCATTCCTGGTGCATGAAGTTTTGGGGTACATTTAGGACACCTACAGTTGGAAGGTAAAAAACAACAAGGAATAGGGATGGTCTGACCTTGGTAATACCACCAATCATGAGCAGTGTTTGTCTGCAGTTTTTAATGTGAATTAAATAGAGCAAGGCTTACAATGCCACTACCTTGCTGGTCTCTTCTTAGACTTCCTAGACTGTCTGTCAGCTTTCTGTTCTCTAGCTCTGTTCCCAGGGACAAGCCTTAGAGAGTTCTGCACACCTTACATAGGCTGGGTTCCCAGGCATAGGTCTGAATCCTGAGTCCAGTGGCCAAGGTGGGCCTACAGGCAAGGGCTACCAACAGGGGCATCAGAGAGCATGCAGGAGGGAGCCAGGTATAAGCTGGGTTCTGAGGAAAGGATGCTCTGGTCAAACCAGCAGCGTGTGACCAGTAGAGTATGACCAGCAAACCAATATGGTCTGCAGGGTATGACTAGCAAGGTACTGTTCCAAGCACAAAGGGGTAAGAGCTGAGAGCACAGGCTTCTGTTTATGGCCAGGACATCCTTGAGTCTCCCAAAGGCCTCACCCAGGGATGGGTACCCCAGTGGGACCAGCTGCCCTCCACTCTGCTTTCAACTTCATGGGCTTCCCTTCCTTGACAGCCTAGGAAACCCTTCAGCAGGCCCAGCTCATCCTGGGTGGGGCGTGTCATTCTTTTCTCATTGAAATTCCTTGCCAGCCTCCCACTACCTCGCTGGGGCTGTGCTCCTAGGTGTCACTCCATGGGGCCCCACAGAACTTGGGATTTTCTTCTCCCCTGGACTACGAGCATGCCTGACTTGTCTGTCCCTTAGTCTCATCTGTCCCATAGGTGTCATGTGCTTTGCAGAGTAAGCAATCCCTCACTGACTACTGGGGTGAAGAGGAGGCCAGTCATGGATCTGTGGTTGCTCCTGGTGGGAAGACATGAGCTGGGGAATCAAATTATTTCTCTGGGGGAAAAATGAACCAGAAAATATCAAGGTGAATGAACCATTAGCAGCCCTATTATCTCATAGTCCCAAGACCCCAGAACCCCGACTGAAACCTCACAGCCCTGAGACCTCATAGCCCCGGGTGAGATTTCATAGCTCTAAGAACTCACAGCCCTGAGTGAGACCTCACAGCTCTGAGCTCTCATATACTTAGATCTCATGGCCCTGCACCTTCGAAGGGAAGAACTTCCCTTTTTCAACAGTTCTAACAAAAACCCAGGACTGGGCCACATGCTACTCCCTGGAACCAAGAGGAAAGTCAGGGCAAGGGGTGCTAATGTCAAACCAGTGCTCGTCCTGGAATTGGGGACTGGGTCTGGGTCCAGCCAGCCTCAGGCATATGGGCTGGGCTGAGAGTGAGGGAAGGTGTTGTCCAGGATATGTTCTGGATATGCTACCTGAGGCCAGAAGCCGTTGTCAGTCTGCAGCTGCCAGGGCACTGCGTCACCTTGCTTTCATCAGCTGTTGCACTTAGCCACCAGATGGGACAACAACATCCAGCTCTGAGGTGTCTGGTGTTGACTCGTCAATGTTTGAAGCTGCAGTCTGTAGTTGCTGAACTCACCAGTCTCTGGGACGGGAAGTTTGGCTTGATGGCAGAGCATTTGCTTGGTATTCACCCTGGGTTCAGTCCCTAGCATTGTAAACAAATAAAAAATACTAAAAGAAATGAACTCTCAGATCTCAGGAGCATGCCCCATGAGAACCTGTAGTGGGGGCAGGAAAACAAACTTGTGGGTGATGCCCCTTGTGTTAATGTGCAAAAGACCCCTTTGTTTTTCTCTACCTTGAACAGACAAACCTCTTGGCAAGGACAGAGCAACATCTAGGCTTCCTTCCCTTAAGATGGTGTTCCTGGGGGAACCACAAGAGTTGGGACCTTCGGTGGGAGGGGGGAGGTAGATGGGGGAGAGGATAGGGAAGAGGGCCATGGGGAAGATGCCTGCTGACCACAGCCTTTGGGACAATGCACATAGCCTGCCCGGACCCTGCCCTTCTGTTGAGCAAGGGATCCCCAAAGTTCTGCTTTCGAGGTCCTCTCAGTTTCTTAGGACCTCAGGGGGAATAGCTCCTGAGCTGGGTCCAGCCTGACCCTTCCTGCCTGTGGGAGAACAGAAACCAAGATGAGTCTTTTCCTCTCTCTGCCATGCCCTGGAAGACCCTGCCTGTGGCTCCTAGCCCCCTAGATAGGGGCTTGGCAGACCCTGCTGGGGTTCAGGCAGGGCTGGCTGCTGACTGGCCCAGAAAAGTGTGCTGTCTCCATATCCCCGCTGAAGGCCAGATTTCAACAGACACATCAAAGATGAACAACAGCCAGTGGCTCTGTGTGTGCCCTTCCCTTCCCCAGCAGACTTTTACACACACACACACACACACACACACACACACACACACACCACACACGTACATACAAACACCATCATGAGTTGGATGATGGCTGCCATTCCCTCTCTACCCTGCGTATCCACCACCATGAGCTGCTCACTGAATGGGCAGCAGCTGCTGAACAACAGCCAGTGGCTCTGTGTGTGCCCTTCCCTCCCCCAGCACACTTACACACACACACACACACACACACACACACACACACACACACCACACACGTACATACAAACACCATCATGAGTTGGATGATGGCTGCCATTCCCTCTCCACCCTGCGTATCCACCACCATGAGCTGCTCACTGAATGGGCAGCAGCTGTCATAGCACAGGCTCCTCTGTGCCCAGCAGGACCTTGCTGCACCTTTCAGAGAGGCACTGAACACTGGAGAGCAGCTCCTCTGTGCCCAGGGACCTATGGGAGGCTGGCTCCAGGACTTGTGAAAAAGATATGGGAATGCAACATAGGACCTAAGGAAAACACCACACAGAGATGGGATAAGGCACCTGCAAGCTTGTAATCGGCAGCTGTGAGAGTGGCTGTTGCGGTGCAGGTGGAGTTAGATTTTTGTAAGTTAAAGCAAATGTAATCCCTGTCCACAGGATCAGAAACCTCAGAAGCAGTGGGGGGAAGGGACTGAGGGACCAGAATCTGCCTTTGGAAGGGTGTGTTGCCTGGTCAGTGGCAATATTGGCCCTGCTCCTGGTTCTCCTTGAGTGGGATGGGAACAGAACCCCACAGAGCTCCATGTTTTATCCCCTGGGAGGCCTGAGTCCCCTTCTCTCTAGGCTCAGTGACAGCAGGAAGTCCCGAAGCAGCTCCTTTTGTTTTTTTGAGATAGGGTCTCACTTTGTAGTCCAGGCTGGCCTTAGGCTTGGTGATCCTCCTGCCTTAGCTCCTCGGGTGCTGGCTTTGCAGACATGTGTCATCATGTCAGTTCCTGTTCCTCTGGAACAGGGTCTCATTCAGCAAGACCACATCTGCCTGATCTTCACCAGTTTCTTTTGAGTTAGTTCTGAGAAACTGGAGCTGCCACTGGCATAGATATGATCTGCTAATGGAGTTTAGATAGAGGTGGACCCTGCTTGGTATTTTCTTTTTAATTTATGATGTGATTCATGCCCCTGGATTTATTAATTCTTCTTCCTTTTATTTTAGAATTTTTTTTTTTTTTAAATCGGGAGCTGGAGAGACGGCTCGGGGGTTAAGAACACTGGTTATTCTTGCAGAAGACCCAGGTTTGAATCCCAGCACCCACATGGCAGCTAACAATTGTCTGCAACTCCAGTTCCAGGGGATTCGACGACTTCTTCTGACTTCCGTGGGCACTGCACGACGTGGGTGCACTTACCTACATGCAGGCAATACGCTCATACACATATGGGTGCTGCAATTCAAACTCTAGTCTTCAGCAAGAACAGCCAGTGCTCTTAAACGCTGAGCCGTCTCTCCAGCCCCTTTAGAATTTTTCTTTATTCTAGGGAATTTCATTCATGTATACTATGAAATATGATTTTATCTACCCTCCATTTCCCCCTCCAACTCCCTTCCTATTCCCCTCAATACATCCCTCTCCTGACTGCTTGCTATTTCCAGACAGCACTTCTGACACCAAGCCTGTGATTTTCCAGGGCATCAGGCAGCTCTTAGACACCAGCTGTACACCCAGAAATTTGACTCCATTCTGGTGCTACCTCCCCAAGTTAGTACGGACCCCACAGGCTGAGTGACATGCCCCACAAGACTCCCCCTTTTCAGATATCTGTGACAAGCAGGTTGCCTGGTGATCATCTACTCTTCTGCCTTCCCGAACTGACAACCTGGGTGAAGTTGATAGAACAACCCACAGAACTTAAGTAAACACTAGGTTGACTATTAGAGTTTGTTAGAAAGGACAACATAAAAGACACAGGGCAAGGTTTAGAGGAGTCAGCACCGTAGCCTCTGTGTCTTAGTCATCTGAGTGAGTCCCCTCCTACATCTCCTTGTTCAAGATTTTTATTTATTTTTTGGAGACAGGGTCTCATGTATCACAGGTTGGACTCAAATTCATTAGCTGAGGATGACTTTGAGCATCTGACCCTTCCCTGCCTCTATCACCCAAGTTCTGTGATTATAGACCTACACTACCATACCTAGTTTATAGGCTGCTGGGGATGGAATCCAGGGTCTCACGCATGCTAGGCAAACCCTCTAGCAACTAGGCTATATCTTGAGCCCTACCTGGTTCAAGATTCTTGTGATTCCCTTTGCAGCCCTTCTCCCCACCTGAATGTCTGAGGGTGGGGGAAGAAGGTGGAGGCTTTTTCCTCTAATCACATATGGTCTTTCTGGAGGCAGCTATCATCCTAGAGGGTACCCAAATCATATCACTGACATGAACTCACTGACATTATGAATAACCAAGGGGCTCCAGGCACTTTCTTACTTTCCTTTTTCTTCCC